CGTATAAATTATTATCATGGTTCATTAACTAACAATGTATGTATAAATTATATTCCGAAAACAAAAATTTCATAATATAAAAAATTGTTTTTTTAGCAAATGCGTGCTATATTAAATCATTTTAAAAAACATAATGGTTTCTTCTTTGTTCGACAAAGTTCATCAGTTCAAGATGATTATGCAATATCAATTATATGGCAAAATAGTCTTGTACATGTTAAACTTCACAAAAAAGTATTTGAATTTTAGTTAATTTTAAATGAATAATCTTTTCTCTTTTAAATTAGAATTCACATTCATATTATTTCGAAGATCGTCTCCATTATCATGATAGTCTTGAACATGCTATTGATTATTTTATGAAAGTATATAAAAGTGTTATTAAACCATTAAGTCCTGGTATAGACGTTTTTTTTAAATAATCAAAAAAACAAAATAGATTTTATTGATTCAGAAGTTGTAAAATCAACTAATATGAGTGAATCATCACCACGATTATTTTCATCACCATCAAAAAGTCTAAAAGGATTTGCAGAAGCAATACATGGTTCAACAAGTTTTGATTTTGGATCAAATTCTGGTTATTTATTCTTTCAAGAAAATTTAAAATTCTATTTTTTCTTTTTTTCTTTTAGAAAGTAATCCATTTAAGGAACGTAAAAAACCTGTTCATAATCAGCAAAAAATGCTTCCGACTATTGGTAATAAACTTAAAAAGAAAAATGAACTCTATTCTTGTATATTTAGAACAAAAACTTGTCAATCCACTTGTTAATAAAAAAGTGGTTAGTATTCGTGAAGATCAATTAACATTTGGTAAATTATTAGGTGAAGGGAATTTTGGAAAAGTTTATGCTGGAGAATATCGAGAAGAACATGGGAAAGGTAGAATGGTAAGTTAATTTTTTTGGTCAAGTTAAGTGAGCTCTAAATTTGAAGTTTTCGACAACTTGTAACTGTGTGCTTTTTTTCTTGGGCATCACAAGTCGACTCACGAGGGAACCTTTTCAGGTGTTGATCTCGGATTTCAATTATTTTCCGGCCCATTAGTACTATGTAGTGCCTTAATAAAAACCCTAAAAGGATTTGAGTTGCTATTCATTCCTTCAAAGTTTATGGCCATTTTACTGAATTTTCGATCTGGTCCTGGGTATAGATGGGAAAAATCTAAATAACGAATTTCGAAGTGAATTTTCGCCCATAAATAGATATAATGATTCTATGAATATTCTGAAAGTTTCAGCCAAAAATAATCTTCCGTTATCGAGATATCGAAT